CCGAATGATGATTTTGAGGTACGATTTGAATCGTTTCTTTAAATTGTTATTTGCCCCCATTCGAATGAGTTTGCTAAAGAGTTATTGGCAAATCACTTCCAGGATACAATAAAATATGAAATATTCGATTAGCAAAATCAAATTATATTCCCTTAGAAATAACTAGAAAGAAATTGTATGAATGTGATGGAGAAAGAAGAGAGCAAGGAATGTAGAAACAAATTTTTGAAATTTTGTGTGAAACATTATGCCACAATAGGTATTTATAGGCATTAAAGCACCCGTTCATCGAGTTCTTTCATTTTAATTCAAGATATATAACCATTCTTAATAGTATTGACCCAAAAGACATGTTTTCTATTTAGAATTTTCAATTTGACTAATTATATCTTTAATTCAATTCATATAATTTGAGTAAGCATCATGTCTTTTAACTAAAAATTATAATCATTCAATAAGATATACAAAAGATTGAATGAAACCCAACCTTTTATAAAGGTTGCCGACGATAACTTGCTGCGCTCTGCAGCACCACACACATGCTGCACAAGGCAGCACCAAATCATATATATTATATTCATATAATATAGATTATATATATATATATATATATATATATATATATATTCTTGAAATATTCAACAAAAAACCAATTAGTTGTCTATATGCATGACTAATGTCCATAGACATTTGAGCCTATGAGATTTTTAAAGATCACTTACACTATGTTTGGATGATGAAACTAAACTTGGAATTTGGATAAAAGTTAGAATTTATAAATTGACATGCACCAATTTTTTTATTTGGATTCATAAACATAGAAATTTAGAATTTCCGCGTAGAAAAGAAACTTGGAATTTGGCACCTCCAATTCTCAAGTTTAAATTACATGTAAATAAGTGTCATTTCTCAATTTCTATGATTGAGAGTTTAAAAATAACAAATTCCGTAACCAAACAAAAAAATTCACAAATTCTAAAATTCCGTCATTTCAATTTCCCTCATTCTAATTCCCATAGTAATCTTAAATTTATTCATTCAACCACAGTGTTAGTCACCTAATATGCATGAGTACTTTTCATAGAGTTTATTTAGCATGAAATATGTTAAGAGAACTTCTTCAAAAGTGAGACTTTCATTAATTCTCCTTCACCTCATAGTTCAACGTTAATTTTCGTTCATTATTATAAAATATTAAGCAAAAAACATGAGGTAACTGAGAGTCTAGAGCTTTACTTTTGAGAGATTCCTCATGGTGTTTATCTTTCAGCATATGAGATTTCTTTATTAAAGAAGTGAACCAAACCCTTAAAAGTGCCGAGTCATTCTTATCGCTGCATGCTGTATAAAGGAGAAGTTTTTTTTATGAAAAATCAAAGTGAACCAAACTAGTGATGGAGTTAGAATTTTTAAATAATAGGATCACATTTTCGACAAAAAAAAACATATGTCAACAACTACTATGATCACTAGAGGCTTGTCGAGACTCGAGAGCAATTGTAGGAAACTGTCGAAGACTGCTAAGGCTTGTCAATTAAGGCATATCATCAAGCACTTAGTTCGCACAACAGAATCACATACAAGAAGAGAGGAAAAGCAAACATGGATAATAAAAGAAAACAAAATAAGAAGAAGGAGGAACTTATGATTTAGTTTGCCATAAGTTTTTTATAGGGGTCAAATACAAATACACAACCAAATATACCTAGGAATTTTGACGATGTTAGGATCATGGGCAAACAATAGTCTTATGTTGGCTCCACCACGGTCGGCTTGAAATTTTGGAGGCTCTGTGCAACACTCACAAAGGCCCTTATAAAATCTAAAATTGTGATTGCTATATTTTTTGTTTGTGTATAAATTGGTATACGCAAACGAAAATAAATAAAAATGATGCATTGTGTGGTGGCTAGGTATCTGAGTTACATATAAGAAGCGAGACTATGAGAGAACACTTACACTAAAAGCTTAATTTTGTTATTCACCCTTAAATATATATACTTTATATACAGGTAAAATAAAATCATAAATTGACGACCCTTTTAAACTAAGAGTCTTGTATAGCAACACCACTTACACACCCTTAAAGCTGGCTCTGCGCTCCGCCCTTGAATCAAACCATCTAACTGCTTCTATATTTTTGTAAAAATCAAAGTGAATCAAACAATCTAACTACTTTTATTAAAGTGCTGAGTCATTACTACAGCTGCATACAGTCTTGAGATTGTATGAGAAAAGACATTAGTTTGTCACTAATCTCAACAACTACTATGATTAGTAGAGGCTTTTCGAGGGTAGTTAGGAAATTGTTGAGTAATGTTAAAGACTGTCAATACTTGTCAATTAAGACATTTCATCGAGCATTTAGTGCACTCAATAGAGCCGCAACAAAAGAAGAGAGAAAATGAAGACATGGATGATAAAAAAACAAAATTAAAAAAAAGAGGAAGTTATGATTTGGTTTGCCATAATTATTTATATGGATCAAATACAAATACAAAACCAAATATACACTATTAGAGTTATGGACAACCAATAATCTCATGTTGGCTTCACAATTGAATCAAACCATCTAATTACTTTTATAAAAATTGCTGATTACTGCTGCATGCAATAAAAAGGAAGAGAGTAGGATTCTCTCCCTTCTTTTTTTCCTTCCCCTTTCCTCCCCTCCTATTTGAACGGTCACGATTAAACCACGTCAACATCTTATGTTAATTTTTTGGATTAATTACAAAAAACTACCTCAAGTATGGGTCAAATGACACTTTCATACCTCATCTTTTAAAATTGACAATGTCATACCTCATCTTACGAATTTGTGTCAATGTTATACCTTCCGTTAGTTTGGCCGTTTATTTCTCAGTTAAATGCTGACGTGGCTTGATCCGGGACCCATTTTTATTAAAAAATTAATAAAAAAATTATTAAAAACAAAAAAAATCATTTAATATTATTTAAATATTAAAATAATAATAAAAAGTACATAAAAAAAATTAAAAACATTAAACATCATCTTCCTCTCCTTTCGTGCATCTCCCCCCTCTCTCTTCCCATCATCTTCCTGCAACCCAGCAACCCAGCAACCCAGAAAAGAAGAAGGAGAAAGAAGAAAAAGAAGAAGAGAAAAAAAAAAAAAAAAAACCCAAACCAAACCAAACCCAGTTCATCCCCCCTCCCCCCACCACAAACTCAACCCCCTGCAACCTAGAAAGGAGCAGGAAGAAGAAGGAAACAAAAAAAAAAAAAAAAAAAAAAAAAAAAAAAGGAAACCCAGTTCGTCCCTTGCAGAAGAAGAAGAAGAGGGAAGAAGAGGGAGGAAGAAGAAGAGAGAAGGGAAAAAAAAAAAGAAAAAAAAAGCAGCAAACCCTCCCACCCAACCCCACCCCCCCCCAACCTAACCCGCAGAAGAAGAGGGAAGCAGAAGAAAGAGAAGAAGAAGAAGAAAAAAAAAAAAAAAAAAAAACCCAGTTCGTCCCCCTGCAGAAGAAGAAAAAGAAGAAGAAGAAGAAGAAGAAGAGGGAAGAAGAGGGAAAGAAGAAGAGGGAAGAAAAGAAAAAAAAAAAAAAAAAAAAAAAAAAAACAACCCAGTTCGCCGCCTGCAGAAGAAGAAGAAGAAGAAGAAGAAGAGGGAAGAAAAAAAAAAAAAAAAAAAAAAAAAACCCAATTCGCCCCCTGCAGAAGAAGAAGAAGAGAGAAGAAAAAGAAAGAAAAAAAAAAATCGAGTTCGTCCCCTGCAGAAGAGGGAAGAAGAAGAGGGAAGAAGAGAGAAGAAAAAGAAAAGAAAAAAAAAAAAAAAACCCACTTCGTCCCCCTGCAGAAGTAGAAGAAGAAGAAGAAGAAGAAGAAGAGGGAAGAAGAGGGAAGAAGAAGAAGAGGGAAGAAGAAGAAGAAGAGAGAAGAACAAAAAAAAAAAAACAAAAAAAAAAAAAAAAAAAAAAAGCCCACGCCAAGTTCGTCTGCAGAAGAAGAAGAAGAAGAAGAAGAAGAAGAAGAAGAAGAAGAGGGAAGAAGAGGGAAGAAGAAGAAGAGAGAAGAAAAAAAAAGGGTTTTTATTATTTTAATATTTAAATAATATTAAATGATTTTTTTTGTTTTTAATAATTTTTTTATTAATTTTTTAATAAAAATGGGTCCCGGATCAAGCCACGTCAGCATTTAACTGAGAAATAAACGGCCAAGCTAACGGAAGGTATAACATTGACACAAATTCGTAAGATGAGGTATGACATTGTCAATTTTAAAAGATGAGGTATTAAAGTGTCATTTGACCCAAACTTGAGGTAGTTTTTTGTCATTAACCCTAATTTTTTTAATAACAAGAGAAAAACAAAATAAGAGAATGTGAGATAAGAGGATGAAAGAGGATGGAAATATGATGTGAGATAATCATAGTCCAAAAGGGAGAAGCTTTTTTACCAAAAACCAAGGTGAATCTAACAATCTAAATACTTTTATAAAAGTGATGAGTCATTGCTACAGATGCATGCAATATCGAGCCTGTATGAGAAGGAGTATGATTCTCTCATTTCCTAATTTCTCTCTTTTTTTATTTGAAAGTTATAGTTAAGTCACGTCAACGGTTTGCGTTAATTTTTTAATAGCCAAAAGAAGACAAAAAACAATATGTGAGAGAAAAAGAGGGAATGAAATGAAAATAAAAAAGGAGAGAATCCTACTTTGTATGAAAAAGGAGATTAGTCATGTACATGCACGAGAACGTGATCCAAGTGACTCTAATTAATCTTAGTTTATTATGAGTCAAATCATGAAAGCATAAAGCTAATGAGAGCCGTTGATAACTATATATTTTTCAATTCCCACTTTAACTAAATAGAAAAAAATATAGGAAATGATAAATAAACAAATCAACATCGTTTCTGGGGAAGAAGGAACAACACAGATCACAATATATTATTAAATTCCTTTGAAAACATAAAGTAAGGATAAAAAAATAAGGTCAAAAATTTGGACGTGCGCAGTGAGGTGGGCGGGACCGGCGGGTCCTGCTAAGATGGAAGGAAATTTGGAATTATGTCTCTCTCAAATCGCTTATAAACTCGCAGTCGGCAATTTTGAAACGTAAAAAACTAAACAAGGAAAGCTCAAGAGGTTGGGCGAGAGAGAGAGGGAGAGGGAGAGAGAGAGAGAGAGAGAGAGAGATAAGAGAGAGAGAGAGACGGGTCACTTGCTCAGAGCCCCATATCGACAGAAAGCTGAGAAAACTAGAACTCTTTTCAGTTCCCAGACAAAGATTTGTACTTGCAGACGAGCAGAAAGCGTTAAGCTTCAAAAGCATTAATAACAACACCTCACGTTCTTACTGTTTGGAACTGCACTCTCTCCTCACAGGTCAGCTCTCGTTTTTCTCTCCAAAGTTTGATTTTTTTTCTCTTTTTTTCTTCATGTTCTTGAATCAAGATTGATGCTTTTTTCGACTTTTGGCCATTTGTTGAGTAAATGGAACTGTGTTCGGCTCGTTTTTAGTTGTTGACTTGTAATTGTTTTGGTTTTCATTTGGTTTTTGTTTGGTTGCCGAGAAAATCCGGGAAAATTTTAACACCATGTCTGAATTTGGTCACTACTGATGGATATTCCCAAGGATCAGATTTTGTGAATCCTTTTTCTACTTTTAAAGTTAAATTACTCTAAACTGCGAAGAGGGAGATTCAAATTCAGTTGCATAGCGATAGCACATCTGCTATGGTTGGAGTGACTATGTCCACGTCTGCATATGAACCTTTTTATGTTTGGTTCACAGAATGCTTGCATAATATCTGCGTCCCTTGCAACGAAAGCGATGTTCGTATCATGAGATAAATACAACGCTCATACATTTTCTCAGCAAGAAAAGTGAGATTTAGTGTGTCTTGCCTTTGATCTTCGTAAGTTTGTAGTTTCTACTTCTGAGATCAGTTATAGTGTAACAGTAACTAGCACTCAGATTTCAATAATTACTTAGGCCCTGGAGGAGGCCAGATTTGCTTAGGTAAGCTTCATTGCCATTGAGCCTTTATGCTAAATGGAAAATTCTTGGGATCTTTTGATATAGGCGCCTCAATTTTGAATTTTTTAGATCAAACATCCATGTCTTTTAGTGATTTGATTAACTTTTTTTTTTGTCATAATTTTGGTGCTATATGCAAATTATATTGTAATAAATTTCCTATAATCTAGCCTTTTGATTACACTCTCCTCCGTTAGAGATAATTGTAAAAAAAAAAATGTTGGTTAGATTCAATTTATTTTCACAATAATGCTACAATTTAGCAATAATTATCTACGATTGAAGATATTTTCTTTCCAAAATAGTTTAAAATATTTTTAAATCCCCAAAATCAAACGTAAGTTTTACTTTAGTACGTTAAGAAAAAATAGGATTGAGAATGGTATAAACGTACCAATACACAATGTGTACAAAATAAAACGTACCAAAATTGCAAATAAATTTACCAATTAATGATTTTTGTAAATTCAAACGTACTTGCAGATAATATATACGTAATATATTGTACCTAATAATAATTCGTCAACAACTAATACTTAAAAAAAAGCAAAAAAAAAAAAAGAAAATATAATTTCACAAAAAAAATTGAAAAAATTACACGGGACTTGTATGTTGATCACCAACTATTTGAAAAAGAAAAAACCATTTGGAAAAAGAAATAATATTAAATGTTTGCATAACAAAAAACATATTTAGAAGAGGAGAAAATATAATTTAATTACTAAAATCTCTACTAAATAAGGAAAAGGGCATCCTGCAATAAAAAATAAATTCAAAAATTATTTTAATTTAAAAAAATAGAGGTGACTATATGATATAGAAAAACTGTAGGAGATTAATTTTTCCAAAATTCTTGGTTATTTGGAAGATTGTGAAATTTCCGATACATCTTTTGTATTTACTCCTAGCACATTCCTGCCTGCCGACTACGAGTGGCAGAACTCAAGGATAAGTGTTTGTTACTCATGGCCTTTGGTTTTGTGTGATTATTTTATTTTCTTATGTTGATCATTTAAAAAACAGCGAACCTCACTTAGTGGGATAACGCTTGTTTATTGTTGTTTCCGTTGTTGTTGTCGATTGTTTCAAATACGCATTTGTGTGTTTTAAAACAATTTGTGCATTTTTTTGAGCGTGATAAAATATTATTGACTGAATGCCATCCTATCTTGATTTGCTGCTAAGTGCTAAACTATTTTATAGCCATCCGGTCATTCTGTCTTGCTGATTGTTCAGGAACTCCAAGTGAATTATGTTGGTTTGTTAATGGGCTGCTATTGTTCAAAGGAAGCTAAAACGCCTGGCTACGAGGACCCTAAGATTCTTGCTGCCGCGACACCTTGTAAGCATGCTTTATCACCCTTCCACTCACTACTCTGCCGCAACTTTTCTCGTTTACATCTTCGTACTTCCACTCATAAACAATCGTACTCATTTTTTCCGTTGAAACTGCTTTTGAAGTGATAACTAATCTTAATCATCCATCACTAGTCCGTACTTAACTGATAGTTTGAGATCAACTTGGATGCTGCTAAAGATATTGATCACGTATTTTGTCTCCTGATCATGAGAAGTTAGATATTAAGTTACCAAATGGAGAATTGAAGTTTTGACTTGAATTTTTCTTTGTTGCAGTTTCTGTGAACGAAGTAGAAGCCTTGTATGAGCTTTTTAAGAAATTGAGCAGTTCGATATTTGATGATGGACTTATCCACAAGGTAGGTTTGCTAAAACTTTCAAGTAATTACTCTAAAATTTGGGTGCTTACGTTCAACCGAATGATAATATTCTGTCATCTATCTTTTTGAGCAGGAAGAATTTCAGCTCGCGCTCTTCAGGAACAGAAATCAGCGCAATCTTTTTGCAGACAGGGTGTGTAATGCTGACTCCTCTTCTCTCAGATTATTTCATTTCGTTATTTGCTGAAGGGAGTGTGATGATGGTGCAATACGGGAAGGGTGACTGATGTTCATTTTACGTGTGGAAAATCTTGTGTGTTTATTATTAAGTAAACGCTAGACGCGGTTTTTTATCTACAATACATTTAATCTTTGGGTGTTCATGTAGATTTTTGACTTATTTGACATCAAGCGCAATGGGGTTATCGAGTTTGGAGAATTTGTTCGATCGTTAGGTGTCTTTCACCCCAATGCACCTGTCGAAGACAAAATTTCATGTAAGAACATTACCCTTATCCTCTGTATATCAAACTAAAATCTTCTGCACGAATATCTTCAATTTATCTGGAAAAAGAAACAAAATTGGACACATCTTACTAAAATGTGTTGTAATCTGCTAAGGGACGTGGGAATTCTTTTGCAGTTGCTTTTAGACTGTATGATCTGAGACAGACAGGGTACATTGAGCGAGAGGAGGTCAGTTTCTTACAGACTTCATTCTTACAATCTGATCTCTCTAGATCGAAATCGCTCCTCGTTAACTTAAGGTAATAATATTCCATGACAGTTGAAGGAGATGGTACTGGCACTTCTGCACGAATCTGATCTGGTACTCTCGGATGATGTCATCGAAGTGATTGTGGATAGGGTGCGAATTCATATATATATTTATCGCGATTCCTACACTTCCTTGCTCAGTTAGCTGAATGTTCTTACCTTCTTTGCCCTTTTTCCGCAGACATACAGTGACGCAGATAAGAAAGGCGATGGGCGGATTGATGAAGAAGAGTGGAAGGAATTTGTGATGAAGCATCCGTCTATGATCAAGAATATGACTCTCCCGTATTTAAAGTAAGCAATATTATTAACTTGAAGTTTGTTCCTCTTAGAAAATTTTACTTTACTGAAACCGCCCTCTTCGTATTTCTTGTTTCCGTTCTATTTCTTACCATGTTGCAGGGATATATCAGTAGCGTTTCCGAGCTTTGTGATGACTTCTGAAGTTGAAGATTCAGAAATATGAGAGTATGACATGAAAGATGCTCATGTGCCAATATGGTAATTACTTCGAAGGCCGTTCGAATGAAGCCACTCGCACTTCACGAAGAATAAATTTCTACGGTGACACCATAGAAATCTCGAGATTAAGATGAAGCCGCGAAGAACTGCTGGCGAAGAAGTCGTTCCTGGAGTTGCATTCATGCTGTCCTCAAAGTCTCAACTGGTTCTTCAAATCTAGGGCTGGCAAACATAAGTGTATATATAGTCTGTCCATGTATTGGCAGATCACGTTGTCTTTCCACTTTTTTTTTTCTCCCTTTGTAATGCTGCTTCAACATCAGATGTTCTGTGATAAGATTTGTTGTAGAGTTATGTATGCCAGCCGATCCTTTGATGCGAAGTTGATTGTTCTCAACCCTAAGAGCCAGAGTGATTATTCTTTAACGTTGCGCACACAAAAGTTTGTGTGAACTTTGAATTAAACGGATACAGGTTAAGTAAATAAGTCAGAACAGTGTGCTCAAATTTTATACAAGTTTGAATTCTTTTTCTTGTCAATTTTAGCCTATGACAGATTCAAAAATTTATCCTTGAAGGATCATCTTGTACAAACATCCAAAAAATTTTAGATGAAACTACATTTGAAAATTAAACGATGCTAATGTCGTTCATGATTCATACAAAGAAACGTTAGGAATTGGAGGACAGATGAACAATGTTGATCTTGATTAACCAATTATTCGAGATGGGTTAGTCCAACACTAATCTTAATTAACCAATTAGTCTAAAAACATATGGTAAATTCAGACTCGTGTGAAAGTGCTTGTAATTGAAAATAGTTTCAGACTAGAAAGTACTTCGAATGCTTGTTGCAGGAAACACTCCAAGTATTTTTTCAAGATTTACTTTTATTTTTATTTAAAATTGGTTCCAAAAATATTTCCGTTCTGAAATGATTTAATCTTGATTAGCAAATTATTCGAGTTGGGTTAGTCCAACACTAATCTTAATTAACCAATTAGTCTCAAACCGACGGTAAATTCTTTTCTACCGTGAAATGATGAGATTTACTTTTGAAAAATGAATCATCTCTCGATTCATTCTACTAAATTCTCTTCATCAACTAATTCGGACCCTTAAAATTTAATTCAATGGTTACAAATAGGAGTATACTTTAAAAATTATAATAACTTTAATCGTTAGATCAAATTTCAAGAATTCAAATTATTTGATAAGAAGAATTTGGTGGAAGAGATTCGAAGACAACCTCTTACCTTACTTTTAGTCAAAGTAAAATGATGAGAATTAAATTAACTATTGAGTAATTAATGTGAAAAGACGGGGAGCAATCATGTACCATGGGCTCCACCGCGTTACTCAATGTAACATTTGGCGCCTGCCCCTTGATCAACCGACAAAGTTGGCATATTAACACGTGGCGTTGGTCAGTTGCGAGGTATTCGGGATCTCAAATGGCCACCGAATTAATACATAACAATTCGGCGGGTGGATGCCGAAGACTACAAATTCTGACAAGTGAAATTTTGTCTACAACATTCCTTATGGTGATTTTTTTTTCACTCTAATGAAAGAAAGTGAAATTTTCACCGAGGAATGTGATGCCAATGATCTTTATGAATCGAATATATCTTCACTGTGACGTTTGATATTGTTTATATATCATGTGCAAATTTATTTTCATAATATTACATTATTGATTCAAAATTTTGACATTTGTGCATAAAAATTGCTCTCCTGCAATAAATACTTAGTTTATTCAAAATTTCAAATAAATACATGTGAGATAAAAAAATAGAACACACAACTCCAGCTAAAAGATTAATAATTTAATACACACTACTCAAATTTAAACTACAAATCGCTTACAAATTACATTACGATTGAATAAGCTTATACCTAAGCCGTATTGCGAAATTGGTTGATGAATGCCAAGCCACAAAATCTTCAATGCCACCCTGCCATATAATTTTGCCACTCAATTCATGTTATAAAAATATTTAAATTGATAGTACCGTATGACAGTAATATTGCGAGGGATTTAATTATGTTGTGTATTTTTGTTCATCATTAGCATGGCGCGTGCATCATACCCAAAAAGCTAAACCAGATCTATTTGTTGTTAATTAGTTGCCTAAAACGATTAAGCATGATTAAGCAAAACAAGATAGAAACGTCACAGCCTTCTTCAACCATCGTTTCCTGGAATATTTTCAACGCACGTACCGCTAACATCTTCACATCTCTCTCTCTCTAAAAGACAAATCGATTCGGTGATTCCAAAGAATCGAACTTTCTCGGAATTCCAATACGATTCTCTCATTTTTCCCAGGAATCCAAAAACCCCACAACTTTGTATTGCTTCGGAGCTCTCATGGCCGATCGTTTTCACAGGTTCTGCTCCACCAATATTTAAAGTTCTTCGCTTTTTGTTATTTATTCGATTTCACTTTTCATTGATTGATAGTTTTTGTTCTTTTTTGTTTGTTTTTGTTGGGTGGAGGTGCAGTTTGGTAGTATTTGATCGGATCCAGTGGATAGTCTCCTGCAGTGCCAACAAGGAGCTTATTATTGGGATTTCTTAGAAGGTAATAATTTTTAATTAATTACATGTTTTAATCTTAATTTTGCTTTAATTGCTGAGGAAGTTGTGTTGAAGTCAAAAGATTAAATTTTTATTAATGGGTTTTGGATTTTGATTTTTAATTGCTATTTTTGGGTTTGATTGATGAAGAATTTTGATTTTGTTTGATTTATTTTGTGATTTTTGTTGATTATATGGATATTTATTGATTGCTACTTTTTGTTGGTTAGATTGATCTCCTGTGATTGTTCAATCAATACCAATTCATATTTGTAATGCAATCAGTTGTTGAGGATCATAAGAAGAAGAATTTAAAGCGTTCGAGATCATTTACTTTCGACATGCCTGTGACTGACCTGAATTTGACACACAGTCTTGATGACTGTGTTCTTTTCCCACTCGAAGATATTGTGCAACACCCATTGCCGGGATATATTGCTCCGACTTCAATCAGTTTCAGTCCTGATGATACTATTATAACTTATTTGTTCAGTCCCGATCACACTTTGAATCGAAAGGTATTTGCTTTCGATCTCAAAACTGGCAAGCAAGAGTTGTGTTTCAGTCCTCCTGATGGAGGACTTGACGAGAGCAATATATCACCAGAAGAAAAGTTGAGGAGAGAGAGGTCGAGGGAGCGTGGGTTGGGAGTGACACGGTATGAATGGGTGAAGACAAGCTCTAAAAGGAATGCAATCATGGTGCCATTGCCAGCTGGGGTGTGTTCCTCAATCCCTTGGTGCAATCAAACATCCTTATTTACGCATACGTGTACATATTTGTATTTTATATTTTTACAGATTGAGTTCTCATTGATGATATGGTCCTTGCTTTATGGACAGATTTATTTCCAGGATCTTTCTAATTCACAAGCCGAGCTCAAGCTTCCGTGCACATCAGGTTCACCAATTATTGATCCCCATCTATCTCCAGATGGTACAATGCTCAGTTATGTAAAAGATTGCGAGTTGCACGTTCTAAATTTGTTATACAATGAATGTATTCAGTTAACATCTGGTGCCAAAGGAGATGTTTTGGTAAGTTTTCTATACAGTAACTCTAGGTCTGGACTAACTGAGTAACTCAATATTATTAGTATTTTTATAGTTTGCAACTATAAAATCTTTCTGTCACAATTAGTATGTTTTAGTGATCGGAGCTTAAGATAACATCCTTGTGACTTGGCCTCCATCGCTTAAGCCAACATAAATTCTTAATCTTTCTGTCACTTAAGCCAACATAAATTCTAAAGGAGTTCTAGTGGATTTGTAGTTTGGATTTACATTCAGTACCAGTAGATTAAGATAGTTGAATTTCTGATCTTTTCATTGATATGAATCTGGTTTTTCCGTGTCGCAGACTCATGGCCTTGCAGAATATATTGCTCAGGTGAGAAGTTCATGTAATAACCTCCTTTCATTTGGATTAAATTGATGCTTTAGAAATTTCTCAGAAGGTTTATTTAAAACTATTCTTAGATTCTCCGAATTTTACTCATGACAGGAAGAAATGGATCGCAAGAATGGGTACTGGTGGTCTCTAGACAGCAAATTCATTGCATTCACAGAAGTTGATTCTTCTGAGATTCCGCTTTTCAGGATCATGCATCAAGGCAAAAGCTCTGTTGGTTCTGAAGCTCAAGAAGATCATGCATATCCCTTTGCGGGAGCTTCAAATGTCAAAGTTCGCCTAGGTGTGGTTTCTTCTGCTGGAGGTCCTATTACTTGGATGGATCTTCTGTGTGGGGGAGCAGATCAACCAGACAGTGAGGACGAATATCTGGCAAGAGTAAATTGGATGCATGGAAATGCTTTAATAGCTCAGGTTTTGAACAGGTCACACAGCAGACTAAAGATCCTTAAATTCGATATTAAAACTGGGAAGCAAAAAGTTTTAGTGGTGGAAGAACAGGAAACATGGGTTAGCTTACATGACTGCCTCACACCTCTGGACAGAGGAGTAACCAAATTTTCAGGGGGATTTATCTGGGCTAGTGAGAAAACAGGATTTAAACATCTTTATCTGCATGATTCCAATGGAACATGTTTAGGGCCTATCACCGAAGGAGACTGGATGGTTGAGCAGATTGCTGGTGTAAACGAAGCTGCGGGACTTGTTTATTTTACTGGAACCTTAGATGGGCCTTTGGAATCACACCTTTATTGTGCTAAGCTTTTCATGGATGGAAACCAACCCTTGCAAGCTCCAGTGAGGTTGACTCGTAGCAAGGGGAAACATGTGGTGGTGCTTGATCATCATATGAGGAACTTTGTTGATATCCATGACTCCCTTGATTCTCCCCCTGAAGTTATACTGTGCTCCTTGCACGATGGAAGCTTGATTATGCCTCTGTATGAGCCGTCATTAACGGTTCCAAGATTCAAAAAGCTTCAACTTGAGCCACCAGAATTAGTCCATTTGCGGGCTAATGATGGGACAACATTGTATGCAGGTCTATATAAGCCTGACGAAACAAGATTTGGACCTCCTCCTTACAAAACCTTGATCAGTGTGTATGGTGGACCGAGTGTACAGCTCGTCTCTGATTCTTGGATAAATACAGTTGACATGAAAGCGCAGTATCTAAGAAACAAAGGCATCTTAGTATGGAAGGTGAGTGGATTCTGTGACAAATTTGACCATTCCGGGTTTTCTTTTTTTTTCTAAATTTTATTCTTACCGTCAAATTTTCATGTTTACAGTTGGATAATAGAGGAACTGCTCGACGTGGACTGAAGTTTGAAGGCTCTTTAAAGTACAATTGCGGTCAGGTTGATGCCGACGACCAACTGACTGGAGCTGAGTGGCTTATAGAAAAAGGGTTAGCACGAGCAGGTCACATTGGATTGTATGGTTGGAGCTATGGTGGATATCTTTCAGCTATGACTCTTGCCAGGTTTCCCGATGTCTTCCGGTGTGCAGTGTCTGGCGCCCCTGTTACATCGTGGGACGGGTATGACACATTCTATACCGAGAAATACATGGGACTGCCTTCTGAGAACGAAGAAGGATACGAGTCTAGCTCCGTGATGCACCATGTGCACAAGATGAAAGGAAAGTTGTTGCTCGTCCATGGCATGATCGATGAAAATGTGCATTTCAGGCATACTGCAAGGCTCGTCAATGCTCTTGTTGCGGCTGGAAAGACTTACGAGCTATTAATTTTTCCAGACGAACGTCACATGCCACGCCGGCATAGGGATCGGATTTACATGGAAGAGAGAATCTGGGAGTTCATAGAAAAAAGTTTGTGAAAAATGAACCACCTGTTTATGTCTTGTGAAATTTTGTTGTTCGTATCCTATAACGTTCTTCCAATTTGGTTGTTCTGTCCTAATTCCATCAGGGATCAATAAATTTCTTTTTCTTCGAGTGCAAGAAACGGAAACTAGAATTCTCTTATTACTGTCAAATAATCAAACACCAGAATTTGAAAATTTTCTCTGAAGTTCTTTAAATCTCAAAACAGTTCTTACAGGGGTAAATAAATTCATAAAAACAAGAAAGAAAAGAGCTTGAACTTCAAGTTTTAGGCTTCTTTGGTGTGCCTGAACCTTCAGGGTCAGATTCGCGCTTTCTGTCACCGGGAATGGGTGCCCCTTGGAAGTCAGAACCGTTCGACAGTGGCAAATCCGCTCGCTGGATCACTTGCCTGACCCGAAAGAAACAGAGAAAAAAGAAAACAGAAAATATGTACAAATTGTTGGTGAGAAAGGGCGAAAGATTTTCCAGAAAAAATGTGATGGCACATGCATTAAGATGTCATGTATCACGGTGGAGAATTCCGGCAAATAGGGCAAGTCGCATTCATTTGAAGCCATTCATCGATGCAATCAGCATGGAAGCAATGCTGGCATAGGGGGATGGTCTTCAATGTCTCCTTGGGCCGGTACTCGGACAAGCATATCGAGCACGTGTTGTCATCGGGCTTTGGTAAGCGCCGGCTTTCTCCAAGGACTATTTTTGGGTAGGCCTCGAGGCTCGGCCTATCGAGACCCCTGACGATGGTGGGCTGCGGAGCCACTACGGAATTAAACTCAGGCAGAGTTCTACGGCCCCTTGTTAACGACTTGACCTTGCCAAAGACGCAGCATAAAACCCCCAAAACGCACAAGATTGCTGGCACTCCAACTCCAACAGTAATAGCATAGCGTGCGCCCCTTGGGATTCCTGATCGAATTAGCAATTCAGATATAAATTAAGATGTAGTAAACGTATGAGAGACAAGGAAATAGAGACCAAACACATGCATGCAAACACAGGCCCAATCATGTTGGGTTCGAGGAGTATTCAAGCTTGGGGGTATGGAAGTTCTTCTTGTCAATTGAGCTAACTTACGCCATGTATATCGTATATACAGTCGTAAAGTTCGTTGATGGGTCATAACTCATAAGATAAAAAACTTGTGTAGAAGCACCTAGATACATCACCCGCATAGTACTATGGAAGCTTTCCACAAAGTAAACTCTGTTTTTTTGTCCCTCTCAACCCTATATCGACTCTATTGTGTGAGATTTGTTCTAATTAGGCAACTGTTCACGTACAAGTTTCTCCAAAAATAATGCACTAGACAAAGCTTTCATAATTTGACTCTATAAATGTCGAGTTTTGACTACAAGTGATATTACCAAGCTAATCTACACTAAGGGAAGAGGTTTAAACCCGAACCACAACTATGAGTTGAACATCCACCACTTGCACATAATGTCGAGTTTATACTGCCATTTTCCAACTCTTTGCGCGTATGGAGGTGTTGACGAAGTAGGGTTTAGTGGGTGGCTCTAATTAACGGGCAGAAGGTCAACTAAACCAAAGGATACGATGTTGACTTATGATCGCAGTCTGGAAAGCGTCGAACGCACTTCCAACAAAGGAAGACTCTAACGCTTACTTTTACTTATCTTCAAGAATCGCCAATCAATCACAATCTTAGACATTCTACGGTAATTTGAGTGAGCGTGATACTTATATACAAAAATCAAGTACTCTGGGTTTGATATCTATAATACTATTGCTGCACTAGTATAAGTTCAAAATGTTGATATCACACTAATGACTCCAATATATTAGAATCACACTCAAATTTTCCGATGTACTGTAAAGTATAATTAGTATATAAGTTCAATATATTTGTATCACGCTTACCTTTTCCAACCTAACCTTTATAAAATCAAATTGTTGACCACTCCCATTACAAACCAAAGATAAATGAGTCATGACCTAAAAGTCAACGCAGATAAGTTTCACACACGTATACTAACATTCTTTCAACTCCTTTATGCTTATAATTTATAACTTTTACAATATATGAAGTCACATATGAATGCAACAGAATTAATTCTTAACTTATTAAAAACGAAATTAGCTATGTTATTGTCACTAAACTATATATGCACGTCTGCAACTTTTGATCATTAAGTGTATGACACTCACATCTCATTAACAATTAAAAATCACTCACAGAGAGCGAAAACAATTGCTTATACCAAATCTTTAATGTGAACACTTCACAATTTGTACTAAACAAGTACTTTGGATATGAAGTTGGCATAAAACTTTATTTTGGAGGGAATAAATGTTTGGCTTAAATGTCAATATGGTCCTTACGTTTTATCTTATGGGTCAATTTGATCTCCGTGTTTTTAATTTGGCCAAATTAGTCGTAGTAAGATCAGATGATTGATACGACACCTCAAAATATTTTTTGCGCCAAATAACATTGTGGACATCTATCTGTTGGATTGCAAATCAGATGAAACATAGGTACCATGTTGACATTTAAGCCTAAATGTTTCACCACTAAATTATAAGACGAAACATGAACATGGTTCCTAGTTTGAGAACTTAATTAAAAACAAGAAATAAACAACTAAGTAATCAGGAGTAGAGCAGTAGTTAATAGTTTACTAATCAATTACCTCGCTGAGGAAGTCTTGAGCAAACAACTTGACGACTAGAATTACTCTCAAACCCACACCGGCCACCACGTGCGGCACAACGGCCGCACCCTGGCCTGTCCCACGCGAGCCGGAGATAGCCATTGAGGTCTGACGACACAACCTCCGTGTACAACGGAAACTCAACCGGAACAACAAACGTACCGATTTGAGTGCATGTCGATGTAGACGCCAAGAAACTAATCACCCTAGAAGAAGTGGTGGCAAAAACTGTGTACGTAGAGCCGCTCATGCAAGCAATAGGGTTTAATAATCCGTATTTCAAATAATCCAACGAGCAATTGAAGAACGTAAAGCTTTCGTTTGTCACGCCATAAAATGGAGAGCCTGAGAGATTGAGGGAAAAAACTCGTTGTGCGAGGCAGCTGTTTGGATCGTTAATCCATATTTGTTGTTCGGCATAGTCTATACCCTGGACAGCGAACTGCCCGGAATAAGGAAGGGTGAGGATTGTATGGTTGCTGCTGTCACAGGACAGTTCAAAACCGGGATAGGAGCACGACTCTGGCTGGTTTTTTTGTATCCCAAACGGGAATTGGATGGCCGGCTCGCCATCGCCGCAGATATCATCCAACATGCAATTTTCTAAGCTGCTTGACAAGAAGAAGAAGAAGAAGAAGAAGAGGATGAAGAAGGAGAAGATTGGTCTGGGAATATTCATTTTTTGATGGAGAAAAGCTTATGCTTGAAAATGGATAGCTGGGCAGGCACAGTTGCCGTACACTTCCAATTTAAAAAGCAGTGTATCATATTTGACTTTATAAAATAAAGGCCAAGTCCTTCAGTCACCCTTCAGTTTTTTTAATTTTAATTAATTTTCAAACCCTGTAGACTAATATTTAATTAAATATGAAGGCGAGGATGACATGGGAACTTTTCAATTAAGTATATGCCGTAAAGGTGCGATATATGTATGTATCAACACAACGTGACAAATATACAAATATTTAAAGTACATAATTTAATTTTCTATTTTTGGGCGGTGATAGTGGGAGTGGCCATGCACGATCAGGATCAATGGAAAAAGGTAGAGAAATTTGGGGGTTCCTCACTGCCTCAATCTTGCTGGTAAAGACCTGTTCAAATGGTCTGGAGGTGGTCTATTCATGTGGAAAACACATAATGGTTTTTTAATTCAAACCAAAATATAACAGAGCTGCTCTCTTAGCATCCTTTGAGAACATATGAGGTCATTTTTTATATGAGTCCTCAAATTAATCTAACAGTAAATTAAGATATTAACTTAAATGATTTATGTTACACAGATATAAAATACTAATTGATAAAACAAAAACAAAAAAAAAAAAAAAGGTTTCACGTCATGTCCCTTTCATCTGCAAAACATGATCTCCTCATCGAATATCTAAACTCAGCAAATCCAATTGCATAAAACCCTAATAACTTTACACATCCAATTTCATCTCATATTCTATAAATAATTATACAAACTCAGTTAGTTACAAAGCACCAAAAAAATTGAGATTGAGTGGTTTCAAAAATTGGGATCCCTTCCTTCTTGAACGCATGTTTTTATATGAAATTTTTCGCCGACGGTGAAAAATTTGAGACAAGTGCCTCTCCCTTTTTCATACGCAAAAAGGAGAAAACAAAAAAATCAAGATTAGAAAGGGGAGTGAATGATTGAGAGAGATGGAGGGAGGAGGGGCTGCGGAGGAGAGAGACGGTAGGGAAAGAAGACGGAGTATAAAAAAGGACCTTACAAGCATGGGTGGAGCCATGAAGGGACCAGAATGGTCCCGAGCCTACCTTGATATTTTTTTTCGCACAAAAAAAAATAAAAAAATCTAGAGTTATCCCTCCTATTTCCAAAGCTTTTTGAGGGTATTAGAACCCCAACCAAAATCTTTCCTTATTTCCTTCACTGGGTTCAATTTGAGGTTGGTGGCTCTTATGCAATTAACCGACGTCATTGTGAGTTTTGAGGGACTCAAATGATAAGAAGAGAGAGAGAGAGAGAGGAAGTAGGCAAGAGAACTGATTTTTACTTTTATTTTTTATGGTATTCCCTAGAGTCTTTTAATACCATTACTTTTGTTTTGAATTTGATCAGTTATGATACTAGGCATGGGGGTTGAGTTGAGGATGAGGATGACAAGAACGACAACATGCCAAACCCAAATGATGATGGTCTGTAGTTAGGACACATCATATCCATATTTTTCTTAAATCAGAAGAGTGTTTTAAGGTGAACTTTTGGCCCCTCCTGAGCCAAAATTATGGCTGCGCCATTGCTTACAAGTCCCCAAAATGACAACCTTAGCAAAGCAGTTTTGCTTTATGATACCCTTAATATAACCTTCTCTATTTTTCTCTTATCAATAAAACACCTCGTACCATTGAACACAAACATTTTCTTCTAACAATACTACGTATCAAAACGACTAATGCTAACATTATAAATAAATATGTTTTGTTAGATATACAAAGGTCATATCATCTTCTTGGGGAAAATATATATTTGGGTGTCACTAGGCCTGCATATATCCTCGAGTGAGTATAAGTCCTATAAAATCATCACACTGATATTACTCTAGTGACATATAAGAATCTCCAGTCATCTAAATGGTCTTAAAGATCGATGCAAATAATTACAATGTTCTGAGTTTCATATGGGATCATCTTTGATGAATGCACAGTTGAGATGTGTTGTATTTTGCGTCATATTGATGCAAGCACAACTTGAAATGGTCAAGCCATTTATTCAAAGGATTAGATCACATCTAGAGCTATATATAGTGGTTAGGGGCCAAATTGTCATACATGTAGCATTAATGAGGCAGTTGAATATCATCAAATAAAATTGTAGATTGATCATCCTGAAATTCAACGGTTGGTGTTTACATATCAGAGATATGGTCCACCCAAGGGCTGCGCAGCACCAGGTTGGCCTGAATGATGTATGTTCAGAGGATGATTGGGATCATCGTATTTGGTTGCCTCAGATTTGTTGGAGGGCTTTTGCTCTTTTTTCTGCCATAGTTGACAGCTTGTGTTGAATTGGATAGTGTTTAGGTGTTTAGGGTTTATAGAGCGGAAGATTGTGTTGGTTACCAGGATCGTTTCTGCTTTATAAACCCTAAACGCCATGTCAAAAAAGATTGAATTGTATATTACGTAAACAATGAACTAATACATAGGTTATATACAACGTGACGATCAATCTAGAATCAAGAATCAAGGTATACGGAATGAGGAGAGAAACTGGATTTTCTTGTGGCCCGACATACGATTGTATTCGCTTATGAACCCATTTCGTGTTTTGCACTTTTGACTTTGGACCCACTATTCTAACGCACTTTCATCTTCTTTTTGTATTTTTTTATATACGAGCGATGATAAGAGAGAAAATTAGCTTTCAAGTCCTCGAATTGAAAATATTGTTTGTTTATTGTGAGACTAAACCCATCCCCCTTCCTTTAGTGTAGATAATATCATTTGTTAAAAAAAGCCCTAGAAATGAAAATGGAAATGACGGAGCCATGTAGGAACCTAGGTGGTCCAGACTAGAAACAATGATGAAGCTATACATGAACCGGAATGGAATAACAATTGTATAATGACATGTGATGTTCCGCCCCATGTCTCACCAGGGTGGTCTCAATCCCCTTGTGGCATGAATTTTATTTGTCAGTTGTTATGTAGTAAAACAACTTAACAAACTATAACCAATTGACACTATAGTCCAATGGTATTCTTCTTTACTACTAAGTGAAAGGTCTCAAGTTCGATTTCATAGATTGTGTTGACGTAATATATTTGTGTTGAATTATATAGTTTATGGCATCTGACCCCTGGCCTAAACCAATTTCTTACTCTTAGAATATAATTTGGGTATTGTTATTCACACACAAATTCTCATTCACTCTTTAAAATTTTCGACCGCCGGATCGAATGAATTGAAGAAGATCAAGACCAAAAATTACAAAGATGTGTGAGAGATAACAACGGATGTATGAATAATACTTTCTTATAATCTTATCATTCCCTTGGAGTAGAATATCTTATAAAACAAGGGGCGGATGGAAGAGCGTCTCGTGTGGGTGGGTTTAGACTTGTTTGACGCTGAAACCCATGTACTACGTTCAACTCTCTAATATGTCGTTGACAAAAAAACCCTCTCTTGTTTATTTTCTTTCATTTTATTTACTTTAGTTGAAGCCTACATATATAAGGTTCATGCATGTATCACTTTCATTTATGCTCCATTTTATTAGCTACAAAGATTTCAAAGAGATAGACTAATAGTTCATCACTAATCATAACGATATTGTCATCAACTTGACCATATGTGTAAGCTTATAGGCGTGGAACTTTATCACAAAATACATTGATGCAATTAAAATTGGAATGGTGACTTTTTACATTATTCAACACATTCATCTTAGAAATTGCTGGGATTACCATACATAGATTGCACGCTGCAGAAAACATATTGGAAAAAAATGTCATAATTCGAACTAGCATTAGTTGCAAACAAACATACTTTACAAGCCATTTCATGACTTTCTAATTTAATCGTGGATATAACTTCAAGAAAATGAGACATAAATACATCTTTCAAGGTTTACTAAATCGCCTCTAGCATTTAATGGAAGGAAGATAAACATCGAGCAGAAAACGGAAGCAATGACACTTGAATCAGTAGAAGGTTTGCGAGTCTGAGTTTAAAATGACGATTTTGAATCTATTGCAGCGATTTTCTAGTTTTAGTGGCGACTTTACCACATTTAGTGACCATAATAAATTCGTCACTCTTTGCCGCCAAAAGTATATTATAGGGCGATTGGAAGGTCGCCGCTAAAGGTCCACCAAAATTAAAATTATTTCCTTCCGTTTCTGTTCAAGTAATATTTTGTGTTTTGAACGAAACCATTCAGGTGATGATTTCCGTCCAAATAACCTAATTTTAGGAACCTCTTTGAAGGCTCCATGAGCCTTACCGGTGATTTGGCTTCCTAATTCGTTATCCTACGTTCACAGTTTTATTACAACCATTTTAAACGAAATTTGGTAACGATTTCCATGGCAGGTCTTGATCGCTTTGGATGATTATGCCTGGACGATTGCGACTCATACACCGGCTATGGATCTGCGACTGTGATATACATTGAAGCCTGCATATTCACCCAACCAATGTTCCATAAGCATCTCTCCAAATCAAACTTCAGCTCCCAAATCAGCTTTTATAAGCACAAAATAACAGCTTTTCTTTTCCCAAACTAACACTTGCAGTCGGAAAGAAACTACGCACAAAATTTGGAGGACACTATGAAAATCACTGCAAAAACCGAAAACAAGATGAGAGCAATGATATGCACAAGGATTAGGGTTTTACCAGGATGCTTCCATGCTGTTAACAAAAGATTTAATCACTTCCGCGCCACGCAATTTGGTAACTGTATCTCAACTCTTAGCCATGTTCGACTGGTTTCCTTATCTTGCCAAGTACAACCAAACTGAATGGAGAATCTCAACAAGCATTTGCAGACAATGAGATGCAAACTCGGACAAAAATTGATGTTCAAGTCCTAAATATAACAGGGATGGCATGATGAAGCTCATTTGCCTCTCAAGAACCAACCGAAAACAGAAATTCGACATTCATGTTTCCCTAGGTGCATTACCTGTGCTTTTGTCGTTCTAGGAATACTGATACAGTGATGTTATATACTTTGCCTGAGACTAGTGAACGAAGGGAATCAAATAGAACCAACGCCTGGTGGTTCAAGTGGTAAGGAGCCTGTTCCCCTTAAGCAAGGTCTCGAGTTCGAGCCTTGTGAACGGAGAAGCCAGCATTGGGAGAGCTTGCCCACCGAATGGGGTCCGACCCAGCTCGAGGGATTAGCCCTCGCCTACGTGCGGGCGATACCCTGGATTCATCCAAACAAGGAATCATATAGACGAAAAGTACCTCTAAAACCAGTTACCAATTACAAAGTAAATGAGATGCCAATCTCCAAACTGATCGATAAGGAATGACTTGTTGGATCAAACACTATTAACATGCGAATATTTTCCTATGGTATGCACTTACGGACGAAATTGAAAACAGTAATTCAAACTTTGAAAGGACTGCAGAATTGGGGATGTTTGTACCATATTACATCGACCTCGAACCACCCCCTCCGAAGGATCCCCCTCTTCGGCAAGGGTGCCGAAGCGCACGAATCAACCTCACCGAGTACTGGCCAATTGTACATGTACAAGACTAAAGCCCAATCAAAATCCAAGTTTCTTCGTTCCTGGTTTTCATCAGGTGCTGTTTCGAGTTAATTTTAGCTAATTTAGACAAACAAATAACCAGAGATTACGATCACCATTTTTATTTCATTCATCCAATTCCAAGCTAAAATTTCACAAAAAATTACATAACATTATTACCACGATTTGGTCAAATCTGGAAAAAAGAAAACTCAAAAATCACAGCACCGACCGTTTCGCTCCCAATCGCCGAAACGGGTGGGCTCCGGCCCTCTGGGCCCACCGATCTCGCCGGTCTCTTTATTCACCAACCCATCGTCGTCGTCGTCGTCGTCTTCTTCTTCAGCTTGATTTTCGTGTTTTTCTGCGACGGGTTCACTTTGCTCCTTGCTGGGTTTTTCGTGCTGGGTCTGCGATGGCGAGGCTGACGAGCACAGGAGCCGACTCACTGAGTTGAAGGCGGCGCGAGTTAGAGGCTCCGTTGTGGAGGTTGAGAGGATGGTCGTTGATGAAAATAGACGGCCCAGATTGATCGCCATCTTTGCTGATTTCTGTCCTTCTTTTCCTTTTCCTTGCCCGTTGTTGCGAAAGAGGGGTGAAATAGAATAGGAAGGAGGCAGGAGGGGAACACAATGTGGCTGTTGATACGGCGTCGTGTCATGGAGTTGCGGAGCCACGTGGTGGTTGTCTAAGTTTTATCGGAAGGAAAGAGATCCTCTTTGGATCCATTCCTTCTGATCCATCAAATCAGGGCCCAATTCATTAAATCAGGGAATTCATGTAGTTGAAAATTGATCAAACGGCTGAAATTATTATAACTTTTAAAGTAGATCCCTATTTGTAACTGTTGATCAATTTTTAACTGCAAGAATTTCCTAATTTGATGTATTAGAAATAAAGAATCCGGAGAAGATCCCTTTCCTTATTTGGCTGCCTATATTGGGCCTAAATAGGGAAAATTTCTTCAGTACGCCCGAACGCACCAAATCACGTGTCGCAACCAAGCGAATCTCCTTCTGGAATAATTTTTGTGTCCGACCGTCAGATTAGGTGCACTATCATATCCACTGTACCGCTGGACTGCATGTAGGTACAACTATAATACAAAGATCAATACTCCTTCCTTAAGTGGGTCGAGTGAGACATGAAAACTTCTCTTACATTCTCTTTGAGCAAAAGTAATCCCGCTTATTTGTGTTTGACAGACGACGTAGTTGGACATCGTACACAAGGATTGTGGATTTATCCCTCAGTGGGCTTGTTTGGGCAAGTGGTCCAAAAGACATTTAAATTGTTGATGAATAAAGAGCAACCAAGAATTCCCAACATGTGGATAACCCAAAACAGAAAAGGTGAGAGAGAAAGAGAAAGAGAGATGGGAAAGATACGTCAGAGGCTACTTGTGCTTTACGGAAGACGTGATTAGACATCTCTATTCAAGTTTTTCTATTCTCTGTTTAGGTTCTGCTTAAAAAACTCAACATGAATTGGCACTTGGATCAGATGTCCCCGCACCGCTGAAAAACACAACTGTCGGAGGCAAAGCTTCTCTTCAGCCGGAACGTACACCGGTCACAGCCAACGAAATAGATGCCATACTTGTGAGCAAAATTTTACTTATCTATAACAACATATTTGGATGTAGTATCTTTCTGGTGCGATGATTTTGTTCATTTTGCAGTTGGGTGGATGCATTTGAAAGAGAATGTACGAAACAAAAACTTACAAGCTTGGATGCAATAAAGAAGATCAAATCATCGAATGATGTTTGTTATTAAGTTTTTAAATGAATCATTAAGGAGCCAACTGTACATTTTTTGTACAGAATATTTCTTGGCCTTAAGCATTAATGTCATAATTTCATAATTCCGCTTTTAATTTCTTTTTCTGGTCTTAAACATAATAATTTCCCTTACCATATAAATTTTAAATAATTGGTAAAAAACCAAAACTGTACATTTATTTTTTTAATAATAACCACGCAAAAAGAACCGGGAAAAACTATAAACAAATTAATAATATATTTTAAAAACCCTATATCCAGCTCCCGCTGCAAACTAATTTGATTCTTCAGCCACCACCTCCTGCTTCTGCTGCTCCCTCCGGCCTCAGCTCCATCGCAGTGGTGAATCCATGAATCGATTGCGAAAAATCCTTCCGAAACCGAAACATGCCAATCTGCGTATGATTTTTGCTGCTGCTGTTTAGGTTCTTTAACAATAATAATCTTGGATGATGGTCGAGTCGTCTATGTCATCACCGTGTGTTTACTGCTACCTGTTGGGTTTCTCTTGCTGAGGTCTTGATGCCGCTTGCTAAGATCTGGATGGCTCCCGTTGCTGATGGTGCGGTCTTCTTCCTCGTTCAAGAGGTATTTGTCAACCTGTGCAGCGGCTTGCCTTCCCTCTGAGATTGCCCACACCACAAGGGATTGACCACGCCGGCAATCCCCAGCGGCAAATACCCCATCCACATTGGTTGAGAACCGACCATAGTCCGCCTTGTAGTTTGAGCGTTGGTCACGTTCCAAACCCAACTTCTCTGCTACCGTCTGGAACAGAACACACAGAAAAACCTAGTGAGCAAAACATGTATTCGAATTTCCAAGAAAGCCTGAATGTCAGTGGATAGGAATTCAAAACACTAACCGCCTCTGGTCCAAGGAACCCCATTGCAAGTAGGACGAGGTCAGCCTCGAGGATCTCCTCAGATCCCTCGATTTCCTTGAATTGGAACCGCCCAATTTCATCCTTCTCCCATTTGACACGTACCACCTCAAGTCCTTTCACGGCCCCATTCTCATCTCCCACAAATCTCTTTGTCAGCACCTCATAAGTTCTTGGATCTTTGCCAAACTTAGCTGCAACTTCTTGGTGCCCATAATCCACACGAAATACACGAGGCCACTGCAAACACAAAGTAAAGAAAATAAATACGCAAGACATGTAATAATATGCATTCAACGTCACAAAAACCTTGGTTAATCAGTGCATCCAATCAAGAGCGAGTTAAAAATGAAAAACACAAGATTTTACAATAATCCAACCTGTGGCCAAGGGTTTCCTGGAGCCCTTGTTCGTGGTGGCTCAGGGAGAAGCTCCAGATTTATGATGCTAGTGCAGCCATGGCGAACGGATGTTCCAATGCAATCCGTGCCAGTGTCACCTCCGCCAATTACCACAACTTTCTTCCCCTTGGCAGAAATGTAGTTACCATCCTCGAGATTGCTATCTAATAAGCTCTTGGTGTTTGCACGTAGAAATTCCATTGCAAAATGTACTCCGGACAGCTCTCTCCCTGGTACAGGAAGATCCCTGCACAAAAAATAAAAAATAAAATAAATAAATAAATAAAACTTATGAAACGAATGAATCATTGCTATAAACCATATTTAGCATTTAGAATTACAAGTTACCTGGGTTTCGTTGCTCCTACAGCTAAAACAATGGCATTGTTCTCCTCTCGAAGCCTATCAAGTGAGTACAAGGGATCATTTCCAATATTAGCATTAACCACGAAGTTGATACCTTCCTCAGCCATAAGGTTAACCCGCCGTTGAACTATCTCCACTTTATCAGTCTTCATATTAGGAACTCCATACATCATGAGCCCTCCGATTCTATCAGCACGCTCATACACAGTCACTGTGTGGCCTATTCTGTTTAGCTGATCAGCAGCAGCTAGACCAGCTGGCCCACTTCCTACAATGGCAACCCTTTTCCTGCAATTATAAAAAATATCAAACTAATGATTCATGCACAGAAAACTTGCGAAATGAAATATATATTCCGACAATACAAGATAGCATCACCCTTAGGCTGAGAAGAAAACCATACCCGGTTCTCTTTACGGGAGGTCGTGGCACCATCCACCCTTCCTCAAAAGCCTTGTCTATGATGGCACATTCTATGCTTTTGATAGATACAGGATTCTCGATAATACCCAGAACACAAGAACCTTCACATGGTGCCGGACAAACCCGACCAGTAAATTCGGGGAAGTTATTGGTCTCAAGAAGTCTCTCTAATGCTTCACGCCACCTATTCTGGTACACCAACTCATTGAACTCTGGTATTTTGTTACCAAGAGGGCATCCAGTGTTCTCCTGCAAATTTTTTAAATGAACATATTCAGTAATTGGTAGGAGGTAGTCTGTCCATAACTAGATAATTCTCGATAACAGGTAAAAGAGCCAACAAAAATATGCAAGTTCTTACCTGATGGCAGAAAGGAGTTCCGCAATCCATGCAACGGGCTGACTGAGTCTTCACAAGTGGTCCAGGTTTAGTTTCCTCCATAACTTCCTTCCAGTCATTCATCCGAACATTAGGATCCCTATATTGAACGCCCTCGCGCTCATAAGAAATAAAACCGCGATGTTTAACAGCATCAGTGACCTGAGAAGGCCTCTTCAATGCTTCAGCATCTTCTACCTTCAGCAAAATTCAACTCTCATATAAGATTACAGAATCCGTTGAGATTACTGGGATGCAAACTCAAAATAATCATATTTCTGTATATAAATTTAAACCAATTACGCTTGTAATGATATGAACACTTTAAGACGAAGCTAATGTGAATGCTACTAAGATCAGAGATGTTCCACATATAACTGACATTATACTCATCAAAACAAATCAGAAGAGAGATCCCCACAAAACAAAAGTTCTTTTGTTTGTCTAACAAAAAGGAGAGAGGGAGAAAGTCAAAGAGAGATGCGTATTCATGCTTATATAATAAGGGTAAATAATTCAATTACCTGATTGGATTTCCCATTTAAAGATGCAGCCGCCAACTTCTTAAGTTCTTCAAAAGCATCTTTCTCTTCAAGCTCTGGCTCATCTTCCTGTTTGGTTTCCTCTTTCATATCTGCAAGAACACGCTTGTACTCTCTTGGAATAACCTTGATAAACTTAGGAAGAAGATTTTCGAAATCAGCCAGTACTTGAACGGCCAGCAGGCTGTTAGTGTGGCGTTGATGTTGTTGTATCATCATTTGAAGAGTCAGAATATCTTCTTCTTCAAGTGTATCAAGATCTATAAGCTCAGGATTACATCGAGACCGAAATTGTCCATCCACATCATAAACATAGGCAACACCACCACTCATACCAGCAGCAAAGTTCCTGCCAGTTTTCCCGAGCACAACAACAGTGCCACCTGTCATATATTCACAGCCATGATCACCAACACCCTCGACAACTGCCTTAGCCCCTGAATTGCGAACACAAAATCTTTCTGCTGCCATTCCATTGAAGTATGCCTCACCACTAGTGGCACCATATAAAGCTACGTTACCGATGACAATATTTTCTTTTGGGTCAAACTTGCTTCCCTTGGGAGGATAAACTACAATCTTTCCACCAGACAAACCTTTACCAACATAATCATTACTGTCACCCTCAAGCTCAAGCATGATTCCAGAACACAAAAACGCTCCAAGACTCTGCCCTGCACTTCCACTAAATTTGATATGAATGGTGTCAGCAGGAAGCCCTGCCCTGTTGTAACGCTTTGTCACCTCGTGGCTAAGCATTGTTCCAACAGCACGGTTCACATTGCAAATTGGTGTCTCAAAATATACAGGAAGAGCCTTTTCCAAAGCA